CTGGACACCCTGGAACAGAGAGAACACGTGAGTCCTGGGTCAGATGCAGGGTCTCCATCCCTCCACAATAAGCCTGAAGTCACTACATCTGGGAGCTGACAGCAGGAAGAGGAAGAGTCCACATGGAAATCATTTCTAGCAGATGAGGTCCTCGTCCTCCAGAAAAGTATTCTTCCAGGGGTGGAGAAGCCCTGCATTAAAGTGGATGCCAACTGTGTGTGTGTCTGGCTCCCATGTGGGACATTTGCATATGGGAAATGTCTGAACATACAAAGGGTAAGAAGTGAGGGAGGTCCTGGTCTCTGGGGCTTCTCCTGGAAGGGGTGCTGACTGTCCCCTCAGAGAACCAGGCCCTCCTAGGGGTCCTTGTCACTTTGCCCAGGGACCTCTCCTTCCACACCAGGAGCTATGCTGCAGGAGGGGGTCAGGAAGTAGGATGTGGGCACAATGAGTGACTCCTTAGGGATAAAGCTAATGTGCTTCTGCTCCCATAGATATAGATAGATATAGATAAGATATCAATATATATACATATATACATATATATTGATTTAGATATATGTATAGTTTGACTATAGATGTATTTATAGATCTAGATATGGTGTTGATATAGAGATTGTTTTCTTTATCCTTACTTGAGGACATTTTCATTGATATTTTGAGAATGGAAAGGAGAGATAGATAGATAGAGAGATAGAGAGATAAACATTGATGTGAGATAGAAATATTGAACAGAGAAAGATGGGGAGAAAGAGAGAAACATTGATGGCGGGGAATATATTTATAATTTGCCTCCCATATCGGCCAAGACTGGGAATCAAACCCACAACCTTGTCATTCATTTGTTTTAATATATATTTTATAGATTTCAGAGAGGAAGGGAGAGGGAGAGACAGATAGAAACATCAATGATGAAAGGGAATCATTGATTGGCTGCCTCCTGTATTATCACTACTGGAAATCAAGCAAACAACCCAGGTATGTGCCCTGACCAGGAATGGAATCCTAGGTAGAAGCTCAACCACTGTGCCACATCAACATGGCTTCATTCAGTTTTGAAATATATTTTCAGTTAGTTTAGAATTTGACATTGATGGCTACTCTATTTTCCTTCAGCACTTACAGTCCTCATTTGTTGCAGGAGGTTCACATTTAGGAGACCAGAAGTCCCATCTGATATTGTTTCCCTTACAAACTGCTCAGAGAATAAACTATGACCAGAGTGTGAGCTTAGAGCCAGTGTACCTAGTGTTTCGGAGAGAGGAGTGTCTGTGAGGGTCCCTGGGAACCAGAACATGAACTAGAGAGACACAGACAGACCTCCCGGGTCCTATTCCTTCTGGGTAGTTTGGTGCTGGATGTGTAGCAGCTGCACAGCCTCCTTTGTGGTGTTTATTCTCTAGACTCTGTTGAAGATCCAGTTTCATGCCTTGGGACATAGAAGAACCTCTGTCATGACCAGGTGTGTTGAGGGGAAGATGTCGGAAATGATTTAGGAATAATTAAGTTTAGGTTATTAAAATCTTGATATTGGGGAGCTCATGTCTGCATGTGAACCTTGTGCCCACTGTGCCACCTGATGGGGGTCAACTGGAACCTACACCTGACCCGGTGCCACTTTGCGGGGGAGAGCTACCTGGGAACATGATGGGGAATTAACAAGACTGAGGACACACACGTCCAGGGTTCTTGTTTCATTAGGTTGTCATCTCCTTGTTGTGTAGCCAGTTCAAGTTTTCTTCCCTCACTTTCCTCTGAAACAGCCCACATGTTTCCTAGAGCCATGAAGACACTCTGTTGAGAGGGTGCAGGGGCACAAGCCATTTGTGTGTTGGTTTTGTATCTTACATCTTTCCTGAATTCTAGGTCTATTAGCTTCTCA